AAAAAAAAAAAAGAAAAAAAAGAAAAGAAAGGGGATGAATGATGGAATTAATTAATTGTCACAGACGCTAGATTAATTCTGGAGTTACTTATGTGACTAAGACCTCTTGGGAAAGAAGCCAGTAGAACAGTCATGCATATAGTTATAGTGATGCTACATTTTCCCTCCCTTGGCCATGGCTCCCTAGCTATGGGTTTAGGGGGCTATACCATAAGTGTCCTAAAGGGAGAAGCCATATCTTAATATATGTTTTCAAAAATAAAGCCATTTATTGTGGGCTTACCACTTTGACAAGTGCCTTAAATGCATTATCTCATTTAATTCTCAGCACCCTGTGGATTCTATTATCCCAGAGGTGCTAGAATTATGGGACTCCTATGACAGCTGGCCCAGTGCTGTGGTCTTACTGGTGCTGTACATCCTCAGCATATAATGGAGAACATGGTCGACAGTACATGCTTAACTAAGTGTGCCCTTCAGACTAAGTGGAACACTTCTAAGGCCTCAAAGCCCCCAACAAACTGTCCTGCCTGTTCCCATACTCTCAGTTTTCTTGCTCTCTTTGGCCAAAGTGACTGACTCCAGGCCATGCTGCATGGGGCTGGGTACAGGAGTGGCTTGTTCTCTGGCAATCACAGTCTTGGTGGCCTGACCTCCCAGGGTACCAGTGCATGGACTACTGCTGGAAGCTGCTACAAGTGTCCAGAGTCAACCCCTGTGATGTGCCGAGAGCAGAGGGCTGCTGGCTTAGTTTGAGGCCTGAGGGAGGAGGAGGAGGACACCTGTTACTCCCCAGTCGTGTTGGAATTTGCTTAAAGCAATGAATGGTTCTCAACAGGGTTGCTCAAGGGATATCTGGCAGTGCTGGGAGTCATTTTTTAGTTGTCCCAACTAGAGGTACTACTAGCATTTAGTAGGTAGAGGCCAGGGATGCCACTGCCATGCACAGGAGAGCTCCCACAGCAAACGACTATCTGCTCCAAATGTCAACAGTGTGGAGATTGAGAAGCCCTGTCCTGGAGCCACTCAAAGGAAGTCTCAGCCCCACCTTTTAGAGGGTATATATCTATAAAGTTCTGTCTGAGGTGCCAGGGAGGAAACTACTCCCCTGGATTTGTAATGGTGGTATCTCCAAGCCCAAGATGACCACCACTTGCTTCCATAGGTATGTGGGACACCCACAGTAGGTAGTAAAGTGTGCAGGGTGGACAGGCCCTCTTCCCGTGCTGTGAGGTGCTGGCAGGAGCCCAGAAAGATACTCGTCAGTGCCCAGCCCAGTGGTGACACCCCCTTTATCCAAATCCCTGAAGCCTACCCAGAAGGACCCCCAGTAGGCTGAGGGGGCTTAAGCTCCTATTCTCATCTCCTATGTTGCACACTGCCCCTCTCCCACATTAGCTTTCTGAGGGGTGTCTCCCCAGGGGTACAGCTTCTGAGACCCCTCGGCTCACAGATATCCATGTTCCTCACACAGACACATCAAGCCACACCCCATGGGGGATCCCAGCCCACTGTCCTTTGTCCCAGTGAGGGACTGAGTATACAAAGCCAAGAACCTTCCCTGGGTACCTCAGTTGGCAATGACCTAGAAAGGTTGTAAGTCCAGGCCATTCCCCAAGCCCCCACCCATGTCAGGCTGGACCACACTCAGCCCACTGCTGACAGGGGAAGACCCAGGCTTGTTCATAAAGCCCTGCCAGAAGGGAGAAGAGGCTTCATTACTCATGCCACTGTTGGCAGCTGTTTCTCAGGCTTGCTTTAAACCCCCCTCGGGAAGGAGCTAGAGAACAACTGGCTGCCATGGTTAGGAAGCCTCTTCAGGAGCAAGAGCAAGAGTGCCTGGGACTGACAGGCAGTTCTGAGCGAGCACCCCCTCCCACCTTCCTTCACTGATTCACTCACAAGGCCTGCGGCTGTCTCACCCTCTCTGAGTCAGTCTTCTCATCTGCCAAATGGGAAAGGATATTACTGTCACTATGGACAGGGCCTATAAAAAGCACAATGTGCTCCCATCTGCCTGTCGGGGAACGTCACCCTTGGGGCTCCCTTCGTTCTTTCTTTTCTCTGAGGAAAAGGTTCATGTCCACACTGGCAAAGTTGGCCACCCTGCTGTTCCTGGACCAGGCCAATTCAATCCTCCACGTTTTCACATGGCCACACACTGGGGACCAAGGACAGAATGTGAAAGAAAAGGAGAGAAAGAAAGGAAGGGTGGGAGGGAGGAAGAAGCCAGCTTCCCTGGGAAAGGGGTTACCATGTACATTTCTGTCACCTAAGGGACTCTGGACGTCCTCAGGGGTACTGGGATGAGGGAGGGGTAGAGCTGGCCAACCCCTTTGGAGGGCACAGGCTGAGCTGGGTCAGGGTAGAATCCTCAGCTGCGACTTGGTCACTTAGGCCTTTTCCTTTCTCCCCAGCCCTGACTCTGAAGTGGGGAAGGCCAGGCAGGGCCTGTGTCTCTGACACCTGTTCCCCATAGGACACCTGCCAGGCCAGGCTCCCTACCCTCCTGAGTGTGGCAGCAGAGGGAAGCCCCAGCCCGACTTACCTTGCTCTGTGGTGGAGGGCCTGGCTTGCCACTGCTCAGAGGGCCTGTGGCAGGAGTGGACAGGAACATGCTTCGAAATAGTCTGCGCTTAAGGCTGCTCTCCTGGGTCTTAGGGCTGGGGCTGCCCTCCCCACCTGGCCTGCCTGTGGCTGAGCCCACCAGGCAAGACTGTGGCCGGGCCTCCTCTGAGCCATGCTTGGCAGACTTCATCCCACGCCGACCCGCAGCCAGGGTGGGTGAGGCGCCTGGTGGGGAACTCTGCAGGCAGGCACCCAGCTGTAGGCAGTGCTGTGAGGTACCTTGGAACTCCGCAGGGCCCAGGGACTGTGCCTTGGTGGCCAGCCCATTGGGCAGGACCCCTGGGCTCTGTGGCTCGGGCCACGGCATCTGCTTGTGGCCTGCTGGTGTGTCCCCGCTGCAGCTGAGGTAGAGGCTGTGGGGGTCAGTGCGCTCAGACTGGGGGCTCTGGAGGTACATGTCTGGGTCGGTAGCCCACTGTTCATCCCCCAGCAGCCCCAGGGACTGTGCTCGCCGCCGGCTTGTGGGGCTGCGGCCACGCAAGGTATTAGAGCTGATGACTGACAACTTTTGGATATCATTGAGCAGCCCAGAGATGTAACCCTCCACGGGCACTGAGCTGCCCCTCACCACTGTCTGTAGAGGGAAGAGAAAAGAATGAGAGATGGCCAGGGGTCAGAGTCAGAAAGCATCACCAGGGGCCATGGGGAGGACCACCTAAGGACCTCATTTGCACCCATTTATTAATTTCTTGAGTCTTTTTTTTTTTGAGACAGAGCCTTAAGCTTTCACCCTGGGTAGAATAGTGGCATCACAGCTCACAGCAACCTCCAACTCCTGGTCTCAAGTGATTCTCCTGCCTCCGCCTCCCAAGTAGCTGGGACTACAGGTGCCTGCCACAACGCCTGGCTATTTTTTGGTTGCAGCTGTCATTGTTGTTTGGCAGGTGGGGCTGGATTCAAACCTGCCAGCTCACATGTATATCGCTGGCGCCTTAACCGCTTGAGCCACAGGTGCCAAGCCAATTTCTGGAGTCATTTACCAGGGTCCATAGTGGGCAGGCCTGTGAGGGTGCAGGGTGTAGGGATATAGGGAGAAGGCTGACTATCAGCAGGGCAGACAGGTGCATACCATGGGGTTACAATCCTTCATGCCCAGCGCTGTGGTCAGCTGAGCCTAGGGAGCCGCAAAGCACTGGGGCAAGGGCTTCATCCCCCAGGACTACCTGTGGCCTTCGGAGAGGTTTGAGGAGGCAGAGACCAGGCCCCACACACTGGCTTTGTGGCCTCCAAACTCTGACAGGGCCCTTGACTCAAACTCCTACCAGGCTCTTGGGTCTACTTGTCTCAAACCATTTGACTCAATTCCCTTGGTCTGGGACAGCCCCAGCCCCTTTGGGGCTACAGGTCTCAATACTGCATGGGACATGGGCTAGAAGACAATTCGTTGTTAGCTGAAATTCAATTTTAATTGGGCATTTTATATTTTGATTTGCTTAATTTGGCAACCCTACCACCTTGCAGAGAGGGTTTCCCCTAGCTCCTCCTCCCTGGGTCACCCAGGGAAAGCATGGCAGAATGATTAGCAAAGTATTAAATAGCAGCTAACTGCTAACTACATGGTTCCTCCAGGGGCCTTTGGCATCTAGCCTAGCATGGTGGAGCTGGAGAGCCTACACTTGGACCTGCCATCCCCACCTGCCCTTCTTACCTTCATGGGCTGGAGCTGCACCCTTGTGATGCGCGAAGGATCTACCACAGGCTTGGGGCGGCGCAGTGTGTCCAGAATGTTCTGCCATTGTGGGGGGAGGCCCACAAACTTGCCTTCTTTGGGGTCGAAGGAGGTGTGGACACGGTGCTGGAAGTTCTGTGGGGCTGAGATCTCAGGGCGTTTCTTCTTTTTCTTGCGGAACATGGTGCCTACAAGGGGAGGGAGGGTCGAGCAGAGCTTCAGCCCAGGAACCCTGGGTGGCTGCAGGGAGTGCTGGGGCACAAGGCTCAGGAGGGCCCCAGTACAGCTCCCCTGTTCCCCATCTTTGGCTTCCCTTCACCCCATCCCTTCTTTCTCAGGGAGATGGCTGGCTCCCAGCAGAACGGTCCCAGAAACAAAAAAGTGCCATAAATAAGCCAATGCAAACTATAAACAAAAAAAGAGGTGTCTGTCTGCTTGTCTGTGCCAAGTCCCCTGCTGAGCAGGCAGACTCTGGGGGTGTGTTTTTATAAAATCCAAAGCCCATTACAAATATCATTTCACTGTCAAAGAATTAAAATGAGGAAAAGAGGAAGGAAAGCTAGCAAACTCTTTTTATGAAGCAAATATGACCTGGGTTCTTACACCAGCCAAGAAGAGTACAGGAAAAGGAAAATTTTAACCAAGCTCACTTACGAACATAAATGTAAAAATCCTAACAAAACTGGTACATTGACTCCAATGGTCTGTTAAAGTTTGTTGTTTGTTTACCTTCTGTTATTTATCACAATCAACTCAGGGTTGTCCCAGGATGAGTCAACAACAGAAAACGTGTTAATGTGACACATGGCATTAATAAAAAGCCAACCAGCTGATTCACAGACATGTTGCCCAGTCTGGGGCCACGTACCATAGGACCATATTGAAAGGGTCCTCTGGTCACTATGTGCTTTGCCTCAATTCCAGAAAGGCCCTGAGCCAAATGGACAGCCCAGGGTGGGTGAGGGGCAAAGCTCTCCAGAGAAGGCAGAGACCACTGCTCCCATCCCCTTGGACCCTTTGCTCTGGTTTTGGCATTCTGACTGTGTAAAACAGGCGTCCTCAAACTAGCTCGCAGGCTACATGCAGCCCGCCTAGGACATTTATCCAGCCTGCCAGGTGTTTTTGCCACTGCTGCCTGTCCTGCTTAGCAACCGACTCGTCCCAGGGCCCGCAGTCTGGCCTTCCAATGGTCTGAGGGGCAGTGAACTGGCCCCCTGTTTAAAGAGTTTGAGGACCCCTGGTATAAAATATCACAGCAAGCACATATCCCTCCTCTCTCTGCTTTTGGCTTTGCCTGAGTTCCTGCTGAGCTCCATCAACACTTAGGAGTGACATGGGTGTGACTAGACCTGAGGGAGGGAAACTGAGTCCTGGAAGCAGGGAAATGACGCCTCCAAAGCATTGCTCTAGGCTTTCCTTCAGGGTAATACCAGGCCTGGAACCACATGCTGATGGATGATAGGTCAGGGGTGCCCACTTGAATACTTTTGTTTTTGAGACAGAGTTTTATTTTGTCACCCTCGGTAGAGTGCTGTGGCGTCATAGCTCACAGCAACCTCCACCTCTTGGGCTTAGGCAATTCTCTTGCCTCAGCCTCCCGAGTAGCTGGGACTACAGGTGCCCACCACAGTGCTCAGCTATTTTTTGTTGCAGTTGTCACTGCTGTTTTAGTTGGCTGGGGCCGGGTTCGAACCCACCACCCTCAGTATATGGGGCCAGGGCCCTACCCACTGAGCCACAGGTGCCGACCCACTTGAATGCTTTTGGATTTGAAGGGGCTCAAAACAGTTCCATGGGTTCTTATGTCTTCGGAAAAGGTCAAGTGCCAGTTTCAAGAGCAAACTGAAACATGTTTCTTGAATTGAATGCTTGGATTACTCATCTATCCAAAAATAAATGGAAAGTAGGGCCATCACATTCTCTTTGACTTCTCTTCTGGAAACAGCATTTTCCTGGTCATTGTAGTAGGTTCTGGAGGAGTTCACAGATCTGGGAGACAGCTGGTGCCCACTCAGAAAGACAGGGGCCCCCAAACAACTACTATGTGTGAGTTCATCTGAATCCATGTCAGACCTCTTGGAATGTCAGCCATCTTTTTGGACCTTAAGGTTCGGGAGTCTATCAAACACCCTAAAGGCAGAGCCACGTGTGTAGAACCCCTATAGACCAAGCACTTTGAGATTACACTCCTATTTGAGTTACAGGATACAGAGAGTATCCCATTACTTTGGAGAAACCTTGAACAAGTTACCTAAACCTGTAGTCCCGAACCCCTGGGCCTTGGACCAGTACCACTCTGTGGCCTGTTAGGAAATGGGCTGCACAGCAGGAGGTGAGCAAAGCTTCATTTGCAGGTAAATACAGGTGAGCTGTATTTACAGCTGCTTCTCATTGCTCATACCGCCACCTGGGCTCCATCTCCTGTTATCAGCCCTGGTATTAGATTTCATAGGAGTACAAACCCTACTGTAAACTGCACATGGGTGGGATCTAGGGTGTGTGCTCTTTATGAGAATCTAATTCCTGATGATCTGAGCTGGAGTTGAGATAGTGATGTTAGTGCTGGGAGCATCTATAAATCATTAGCAGAGAGATCTGCTTACACAGAGACCATAATAAATCAATTGCTTGCAGACTGTTATTAAAACCATCTCACCGGCTCGGCGCCTGT